TGGTGAGAGACAGTAGGTAAATGAGGGGATGACTTAATGAGGATGATAACCTTGAACATATGAAGATTGAAAATGCTAAGGAGGAGAAGAATTAGATGGACTAAGGGGATTACTAGAAGTAATGGGATGAAACTGACAAAGAGAAGAATTTAGGCTTTATATCGGGAAACATTTCCTAGCTGTGGTTTCTATTCGACTGTGGAAGAGTCTCCCAAGGGACATGGAAGAAACGTTATCAAGTGAGTCATTTAAAATTCAATTTGATAGGGTGCTGGAGAATATACCTTAGGGAACAATCCTGCCTTGTTAGGGTAGCGTCATTAACTATCTCAAATTACCTGAGAGGTATGGTTTAGGAAGAAGACTGGAAGAACGATATTTATATTAGCTGTGTATAGGCAATATTTTACTGTTTAACTTTTTAAGAAAATGGATGAGTTGTTAAATTGAAAAAAAAAAGCAGACCTTGGTTTGGCTGATCATTAGTCTAAGTCCATTAGCTTTATGATAAACAAGAACTTAATTAAATATGCTCCTTTTACCATTATCAGATTGTTTAAATAACAAAGCATATCATGAAGCCTGTGTAGTTGAAAGGAACACATTGCAGAATCACTGGGGGAATTCCAGGAAAGCTATTAAATGCCAGCAGTAAATGGAAAAGCATTTTATTAATTTCACTTGAGCAAGAAAGTGAAAGTGCTTAATTGCAACCTGCCAATTATATCTAATTTGCCTTCCACCAGTGAAAGTTTTCCCCTGCAAAATTTGGAATATTAAGGAGCTATATTAAAGGATTTTTCTTTCTAGCTGCTTTGGGTCAAATCAGATGTGATGTAAGTGAAGGCCAATTTTTTTTTATTTAGTAAAATTGCATTAATTTACACTAAGTCTCAATTCGATCTTTGGAAAAGAAATTTGAAATTAACATATGCTGGAATTGGGTTCAAACTACAAAGACTGGATACAGATTTCAAACTGTGCCCCTATGTTTTGGGAGATTTTGAATCAAGCATTTTGGTTCATCCTTGCATAGCATAAGAGCCATTTTCAAAGTTTGGATCTACGGTTGGATTTTTCATTTTAACCCCCCCAAATGACCAAGGTAATTTAGAAACACATGTTTGATTCAAGACAATCTCTATTATATACAGTAAGCAGAGATAGGCCCAAACCATAATGTTCGGATACATTCTCTGAACATTCAGCAAGGGTCATAATGGAGATGGATTCAACCTGTGAAATCTAATCTGAAATTCCTCAGTGTTTGAGGGAGGTTGAGATCACAGTATTGTCACTGGGGTCTTGCTCTACAGTTATAGTGTAGGACTAGGTTATGTGGAACCTAAGACACAGTGAAGCACAAAGATGTGAAATTAAACTACTTTGGAGTTTTGTTATGAATTTAGCCTACTTTTGTCACAGTTTAAACTTAGGTTGACCCTTTTGAATATTGAAGAATAATTCTGTGGTCAGATTCCAGAAATCCTTAGGCCAGTTCATGGCTTCATATCAACTCCAATGGTTTTGTGCAGTTTTTATGTGAAACCAGGTAAAACATGGCAGTTTCAGCTCAATTTTGCTTTTGGGTTTGGATTTCTTTGAAAATGAAACTAGAGTGTTGCAATTCCAAACAGATTATAGTCAGAAAAAGCATTCCCAGTCCCACAAACCCCTGTAACCCAATAACATCCAGCCCCATGCAGTTCTAGTGCTGGATCTCAGTTATATGTGAGATCAACATGATTCTGTAACATTAGAATATTCTGTGGACGTAATTCGTATCTCACTCACAACATTTTTAGTCCAGTTTAAATCCATTGGTTTCAATGGCGTTATTCCTTATTTGTACTGATGTAAGTGAGAGCACAACTGGACCTATTTTGTTGTCGATGCAGGATATTGGTCCTGTCTTTGCAACAAATACAACAGGAACCCATTATAAACCAGAACCACTTGTCTTGGCTTAAACACTGCTTCTGGGCTGTATCTTCTGTTGGTCTGACTATGCCTGTTGTTCTTGTGTCACTGTGAAGACAATCATACATTTAAAACAAATTCTTACCTGTGTGACTAACAGAATGGATTATTATGCATAATAATTAGTGGTGAGGGTTATTTCTAATAACACATTACAATCTTAAAAATATTATTCAGGATTCTGTCAGACCATCAATCAAGTGCCAAGAGTATCTGTGAATGGCCGTAAAACTAATCCCAAATTCAGCCAGGGTGGGCCCCGGTTTTGAGATTTCATTGGTAACTATGGTGGCAAGGAAAAACGGACAGAAGTCTGGAAAAGCAAGAAACAAGAAATCCAGTGGCTCCTCACAAATGGCCTAATTATGAGAGGTTCTGAACACCCACAACTCTCAAAGTCAATAGAAGTTGCAGGTCTTTAGCAACTCTCAGGATTATGTCTGCTGTATCTGTCCTCAGTGCAAAAGACCTGAAGGAGGTGGGATGGATGCAGAACAAAAGTTCTTATTTGCCTCATCTCATTGACTCTCCCGGACTATTCAAACACACACAAATACTGCTGGGTTGCCCTATACGTTATTTCTATGGTATATTCTCCAGCCCAGAATATCACTGGGAAGTTAGGGAGGCAGAATGTAATTACCTGAGCTGGAATTATTGACTAAGACTCCAGTGTTAACACAGATAATAACAAATGCGTAAGCCCATCTGAAACCCTGGGTAATTACTCTGGCAGCTAGCCCACACTGAGGCATGTGTTGCCATAGCTTCGCAGCTCCAGTACCCAAGCTAACTAGATTAAAGCTAGCTTTGGTATGTCTATATGAGCTGCAATTACGCCCTGTGATTGCAGTATTGATATACTCTAAGGGTATATTTACACAGCAAAGAAAAACCTGTAGCTGCCCCATACCAGCCGACTCGGGCTTAGGCTGCAGGGCTGTTTCATTGCTATGTAGACTTCTGGGCTCAGGCTGGAGTTTGGGCTCTAGGATCCTGGGAGATGGGAGGGTCCCAGAGCTCAGGCTCCAACCCAACCCCAGAAATCTACACAGCAATGAAACATGTGTAGACATACTTTAAGTGGGCCAGGGCAGGGACCAGCCAGGTTCACAATGGGTTGGGATAGCCTGAGTAGATGTAAATGAATGTGAGGTCAGAAAAATGATTCTGTACAAAAAACCTTTTGTTCCAACATAAAACCTTAACCCTGGCCTCTTACTTACCCCCTACATACTACTCATCTTACACCTAACCAGTGCACATATCATATGTCTGTAGTAAATATGTGGTAATATTGCTGAGGTCAGCATTATGGTTTTGTGTTGGACCATGATTTACAGGATTTTAAGATGTGCACTGTGTTTCCACACATGCTAAAAGTGGAACAGAGTTTTGTGTGGCAGTGTGGAGTCTGTTAACACTCCTGATTAATGTGAGGAGTGTGGGTTAAGCTATATTAAATAAGGTTGCTTTACCAAGACATTTCATTGTTTTTCAAGGATTGCATAGCTGGGTTTTCACAGGCAGTTTTAGCTATAAAATAACAAAGATTTCAGTGGAGGAAAATTATTTGTATGACAGTAGCATCTATTATTAATTATTATTATTATTTATTATTAATTAACAAAATAAATTTTCTCCTTTCACGGTGATCTGACTGCATGATTTTATATTCAGTTTCAGATTTGGTTTAAGTTCTTTGAAGCATGATATCTCAGAGTGAGAGAAAAATGAGACCTCAGCAAACCAGTTATCTCCTATTTCACACAAGTTACCATAAAATGGTTACTAAATTGTGCCTGGAAATAAATATGTTTTGGTTTCCTAATTTCAGAAGATTTAAAAGCGTATTTAATCTATAATTAAAAGCTCTGTATAGCATCCAGGACTTGAAATCTCCTACTGCCAGCACTCTGACCTATAGTAGGTGTCCTAGCTCAGTATGCTGAGCAGATGCTCAGGTTTGTAATCATTATTATACTCCAAGGGTTGGTTTTAATTAACAAGAGCACAATGATTTTAATGAAAAAGGGGGGAGTTTATTTAAACAGAAACCATTAATCTGGAAGGGATTCAGACACTTGGTAATCCCAAAGGGAGTTCTTCTTTCATTTTTTTAAGAAAAAAAATAATGAGAAAGAAGGGGAACAAAAAGTAGAAATTAAAAAAAACCTGATCTACTGAATTTTAGCACTAGTGAAAAGAGAGGGATTGACAGCCTTGGAAATTGAAATCCTTTACTTATTGTCCTTCAAACAGGTACAACATTTTTCCACATCCTAGCACTCCAGAGACCGTCTCTCAGCACAGAAGAAAGTTTAGTCTTCAGGGTCTTCTCAGTCTGCAAAGGCTGCCAACATGAAGGCCAGCCAGTGCCAACGGTACTACTGGTTTTATGATGGAAGTACGGTCCATGGAATTTAGCACCTGGCTAAAAACTAGGCACAACTAACTTCTAACCCCAGTTTTGGCTAGCATGTAATCTCTCTGCCTTAATCTTCCCATCTACAAAGTGGGCATAATTTATTTACACTTGCCTACTTCACAGGGATGTTGTGAGGTTCAAACTGCTGTCTGTAAAGCATTGTAGCTTCTACAGATTATATTATTTGCTAGAAACTGGCAGCTTAGTCAATTTTCACACCAATCATCAGGTGTTAATAATATTCTAATACTATTGGATGGGTTAGATTCAAGCCTTGGCCAGCACACAAATGTGTTGGCCCTTGTGAAAGGGTCCAGTGTACCCCACCTAGGGGGTCTCAGTCTCAGGTAGTCACCTGGCCTAGGGGTTTGTAATAGGAAGTGTAGGGGAACCCAGGCCCGCCCACGCCACCAGGTTCCAACCCAGGGCCCTGCGAGGCCTGTCCCACGCCATTTACCCTGGGTTGCCTCAAGGCAGCTCCCTAGGTTACTTCCTAGCTCCACCTTTCCTGCGGCAAGCTGCAGTTTGCCCCAGCAAGCACTAGCTCATGGGTTGTCTACCTGTCTCCAGCCTGTAAGAGCTGTTGCTCACCGACACACCTGCTCCCGGTCTGGCTGTGTCCTCCGGAGCTCCCAGAGCGGGTCCTTCTCTCTCCCTTGTTCACCCCCAACTGAGCTAGCCTGCTCCCTTTTTAACCCCACCTCCAAGTGGAGTACACACAGTACAGGCGGAACCTTGTGAGGCCAGAGCTGCTCTTCAACTCTTTGCTGTCCAGTGAGGCGTTTGTACAACCCGTCACAGCCCTGCACACAAGAACGAATAAGAACATAAGAATGGCCCTACTGGGTCAGACCAAAGGTCCATCTAGCCCACTAGCCTGTCTTCCGACAGTGGCCAGGGAATGAACAGAAAAGATCACTAAACATCAAGTGATCCATCCCCTGACGCTCATTCCCAGTTTCTGGCAAACAGAAGCTAGAGACACGATTCCTGCCCAGCCTGGCTAATAGCCACTGATGGACCTATCCTCCATTAATTTATCTATTTTTTTTTTTAACCCTGTTATAGTCTTGGCCTTCACAACATCCTCTGGCAAGGAGTTCCACAGGTTGACTGTGTTGTGTGAAGAAATACTTCCTTTTATTTGTTTTAAACCTGCCTATTAATTTCATTTGGTGACCCCTAGTTCTTGTGTTATGAGAAGTAGTAAACAGCACTTCCTTATCTACTTTCTCTACACCAGTCATGATTTTATAGATCTCAATCATATCTCTCCTTAGCCAACTCTTTTCCAAGCTGAAAAGTCCCAGTTTTATTAATCTCTCCTCATATGGAAGCCGTTCCATACCCCTAATCATTTTTGTTGCCCTTTTCTGAACCTTTTCCAATTCCAATATATCTGTTTTGAGATGGGGCGACCACATCTTCACACAATATTCAAGATGTGGGCGTACCGTGGATTTATAGAGAGGCAACATGATATTTTCTGTCCTATTATCTATCCCTTTCTTAATTATTCCCAGCATACTGTTTGCTTTTTTGACTGCCTCTGCACATTGAGTAGATGTTTTCAGAGAACTATTCACAATGGCTCCAAGATCTTTCTTGGGTGGTAAGAACTAATTTAAACCCCATCATTTTATATGCATAGTTGGGATTATGCTTTCCAATGTGCATTACTTTGCATTTATCAACATTAAATTTCATCTGCCATTTTGTTGCCCAGTCCCACAGTTTTGAGAGATCCCTCTGTAGCTCTTTGCAGCCTGCCTGGGTCTTAACGATCTTTAGTCATTTTGTGTCACCTGCATATTTTGCCACCTCACTGTTTACCCCTTTTTCCATGACTGTCCTCACAAGGAAAGTCATGACCAAGACTCAGGCCAGGGTCAAACTTGAAGTTGGGAGTAACGGAAGAGTTCGTAGTCAGGTTCCAGGATATGGTTGATTCCAAGGGTCAGAGTCCCAAGTCAGGTTTCAGGGACCGGGTCAGGAAGCAAAATCCAAATCAAGCTGAGGTCAAAGCTGGGAGTTCAGGAGCAGGGAGAAGGACTGATCATGGCAGTTACAGGAGATCCACGCTGCTCTCTGGACACTTCCTGGAATGACTGTTGGATTTATGTAGGGTAGGGAGCCAATGAGGAGCCATGTGGTTGCTGCCTGACAGACTCCTTGAGGCAGGAGCACCTCCTTGAGCCAATGAGGAGCCATGCAGCTGCTGCCTGACAGACTCTTTGAGGCAGGACCATGGGCAGTGGAGAACAAGCTGGTCATAGCTGCTGCTGGATAGCAGCATGAAGATGTCAGTTGCTTTGCAGGCCTGGGTTCTAGACCTATGGGCCCTTACAGATGCTGCATCAGGCAAGCTCCTCACATAAACCTATGCCCCTTATTAAGAAAGTGTTCCCCTCTCAGGTAACATAACATGGGATAAGTGTTTTCTGCATGTGCAGAGAAAGTATCTTGCCCACTCAGAGGGTATGTCTACAATGGACATTCCTTATGGCAGTGCAGGGAATACATACATTGCATGCTCCCCTACCATGGATATAAATAGCAGTGTAGATGGTGAGGCATTAATTAAGCATGTAAAGATACAACTGAACCTTTAGGACATGCAACCTACACAGTTCTCCATACATGCAAGCAGTGCCTCCCTGTCTACACTGACTCAGGGAAATGCTTCACCTGTGGGGAAAGGCTCTGGGCAGGGTGAGGAAGTGGGGAAAAACTCCAGCATCTCGCCACTGCAGGGAGCCTTTCACCCCTGCAGAGAGCTGCCTGAACCTTTCCCCACCTCAGAGAAAGACAGCATGAAAAGGCTCAGGCAGCTCCCACTGCAGGGAGCCTTTCACCCCTTCAGAGAGCTGCCTGAACCTTTCCCTACCTCAGAGAGAGACAGCATGAAAAGGCTCAGGCAGCTCCCACTGCAGGGTGACTTTCCGTTTTACAGGGGACATACTCCAGCAGTGGGGAAAAACTCTGGTGGGCAGACGTAATGGGGAAAGGCTCCAGCAGCTCCCTGCCGTTGGAGCCTTTCCCCACTACTCCCCACCCACCCGCCAGAGCCTTTCACTGCCACATGTAGCTAACATCACAGCTTGGATGCAACCAGCTTTTCAATGAGGCATGGAACTACGCGTACCCTACATGCTGCCGCCAGTGGTGTGCAGTGTAGACATAGCCAGAGAGAGCCCCTGACAGTATGTTACTAATTCTGGACATGGGGATCAGCTGCTGTAGCAAAAACATTTCTTTGTAGTCTGAATACGAAATGTTCCCTAGCATCTGTTTACGAAACGTTAACCTTCTCCATAGCTCTAAGCCCATAGCTGTCATTTCACACTTCCCCAGTCAATGAATAAAAATAATATGCCCAGAGATTCTCACATAAAACTTTCTTTGCAGCTGCTCCCCAGCTACCACCAAAAACAGCCAGAGAAATCATGGAAGAGGCCGTAGCTGATGTAGCCTCTAGTTCAGCTAATCTAAAATATTTCTTGCCGTCCTTCTTAGGTTTTTCAGTAGGTCTCAAGCCCCATCTAAAGAGTCACTTTTTTTCCTCTATCTTTCACCTCAGACGAAATAAATTCTACTGTAGCAATCAAAATGTTCATCTCATTTCTATGTGTTGAATTTTTCTTTACCCGCACCTCCACTCCTCTTGTTTTTACCAATCTCTGTCACTCCAGTTATCACTCACTTGTCTTGTTGCTACACACATGAACACACATTTCCAATTCAGTGACATTGTCCCAGATGCTCCTAGCACGTGTATTGGCCACTTTATTTAACTTTCTCTTATCCATTTTTCATACTGCCCTCTCTTTCCTATGCCTTTCTATCACTTTAACCATTAGATAACTCTCTAGATTCTAGTCTGATAACACAAACTGGTTGTTTCTAGGGTTTAGAAGGCAGATCAGGAAGGAAGCACTAATCTGGAGGTGGGTTCATTAAAAAGGAAGGTGTGCCAATGCTAAATGCTTGCTGAAACACGTCCTTAATCTCCCCTCCCACTCTCTACCAGAAGCACCCCGATCTCTAATGCTTCATGCTCTCCACATGGTCTACTTAACAATTGCAGGTAATGGATCCTACCTTTGCATGGAAGCTAATGAGAAAAAGGTGGATTGGCAGCTGGAAGAAAATATCCACAGTGGGCAAGGAGCAAAAAGTGGTGGTAAACAGGACAAGAATAGAAGGCAGGAGAGAAGTGAGCAGGGAGGGGAAGAGAAAGAATAGTTACTTACCTTATAGTAGCTGTGATTCTTCAAGATGTATTGTTTACATGGATTCTGCTTCTGGTGTGCATGCATCCCATGTGCACAAGATCACATTATTTTGGCTAGCAGTATCCATTGAGGTTGTATCTTCACACTAGATGCTCTTCTGCTCCCCGATTGAGGGATATAAAGGGCAGAGGGGGCCCAATCATCCCTCAGTTTCTTCACCAGTACAAAATCCAGGTGGTTTGTACTCTGTAGTAGGAGGGAATGAGAACATGTCATAGAATACATGTGGACAGTACACCTTGAAGAACCATTATTACTGTAGGGTAAGTAACCATTTTTCTTCTTCAAGTGAATGTCCACCTGGATTCCACTTCTGGTGAGTGGCAAGCAGTGACTTCATAATCTGGAGGTGATGCTAGGAGTCCTATTTAAACAAGGATTGCAAGCCAGCTTTGCCAAGTAAATGTTAGATCCTGTGGCCTCAGCTAAGGAATAGTGCTGGGTGAAAATGTGGACTGATCCAAATGTAGCTGTCCTGCAAATTTCTGAAATAAGGATGATTCTTGAAGAAGCCATAAAGGATAGTTGAGCCCTAGGAGCTCCAGCAGGGTCTTGTCCTTTCCAGGTACTGTGGTATGAAAGAGCTGTGATTACATCAGGGGTGTGCAGTCTGGGTCCTTCCCCCTGCCCCCCGGGTTGAGTAGGGATTGGGGAACCTGCAGGTGAATCAGCTAATTTAAATTAAAATCAGAGAGTTTTAGGCAAGAACTTGGGGTGAAACCTAACAGTAACTTTGTGTTTATTGAATAGAACATTTGGTGGACCAGCCATGAGGGTCTGAATTTCCCCTTCTCTCTAAGCTGATGTTATGGCTATCAAAAAGGCAGTCTTCATGGACAGGTGACATAAAGAACAGGTTATTAGGCTCTCACAAGGGAATCCTATGAGGCCGATTCATACTATTTTGAGGACCTAGGAAGGAGGGAGCTCCCAGACCAGGGAAACATATTAACAAGGCCCTTGAGGAATCTAGTAACTGTCAGCTGGGAAAATATGGAATGACCCCAAACAGGATGATGTGCAGATATCACTGCAAATGTACCTTTATAGATAGATAGTTCAAAATGTTGTAGTGGTAAGTAGATAGTCCAGAACAACAGAAACAGGGGCTTCCAAGGGAGACAGGTGCCATTGTGCTGCTTCAATAGAAAATCTCTTCCATTTTGCTGCATGAGTTTTTCTACCATGAACCAAACTGTTCTGGATTTCAGCAAAATGGCTTCTTTCTGTGGCAGTTAACCAGATGGCATCTATGCTGTCAGATGTAATGATGCTCCTCCTGCCCTATCACCAACATGAGGATGCACAGGGCTCTCTTTCAGAGATGGATGCCAGGGCTCTATGTGGGTCCTACAAATCTTATTCCCATACAAGTGACACCAGTTCCACTACATCTGGGGCTCTTCATGGCTGTGGAGGAGAGGACACTGAAAATACTGATTCCTTTTAAAATCTCTTAGCCTTTAGTCATAACAAGCAGATTTTGTTCAGCCTTTCAATGGAGAATTATCAGCCCCTACTGACATCTCTGTATAATAACTGTTGAAGTCAAGGTACCAGTATTTTTCTTTTTAATTATGAATAGATTACACAAGTACTTCAATTTTGTAATTTCTCGTGTGAATGAAAGATCTAATCTTGATCTCCACATTCCTTAACTTTTTAATAACACGATTGGCAGGAAACACATGCAACTGGGAATTGCTTCCGACTGCGGCATGCTGTAACGGCTATAGCAAGTATGTTGTATGCCTGGAATTTGGTTCCCTCCACATGTACACAATCCAGATATGAGAAATTTTAATGCATGATAGTTTATATTGTATGTTTACAATCCTTAGAGAAGTGGGCACAATATCAATGTGTTTATTTCTTTGTAGTTCACCAAAAATTAATTTTTTGTCATTTATTTTTTAAATAAGACTTAGAGGCTGCCCGCTGGTGGTGGTTTGACAAGACAAATATTTATCTGCAAAGAGCCATGGATGTTGTAATATTAAATGGGAACAGAATTACCTAAAAAATATTCAGTGTTCCACTGATACGCCACACTCCCATCATCTCATCCTAAAGAACATTAGCAGATGGGGAACTGTGGACAAGACCTAACTGATATCTGCCCATTTCCAAATTCATACATTTATTCGAGGGTCCAAAATTTCCCAAGTGCTTTGATTGTCCATCAGATGATGCTGTTTAGTAGGTAAAATGCATGTTTCATGATTAATATAATTCAATTCTAACCAGGAACATGTTTAACAATGAGGATTTTGAAGGTTTTCTTGAATACTTCTTATCATCAAAGAACTCTCACATTTTCAGAACTGATTCAAATCCCCAGTGTTACTGAAATGGATTGTGTCTGGCCCTCCCTGTGCACACAAGGGAGCAGAGAGGATACAAGGAAACTTCCCTCACTGACCGCTGCTCAGGGGAAAAATACCCTACAGCTGAAGTCCATATGTGGACTGCTCCAGACTGTTGGCTGCCACTGTGCTAGTCTTGCCAAAGGGCAAGGAAAAATGGGCCAAAGGTGGATCTATGGCCCCTGTCCCCCTTCTGTGTCAGCCAGTGGAAAAGAGCAAATGGAAGGGAAGCACCCCATCAAAGGGTGGCAAAGGTGCTGTTCCAGCATGAGCTTCTCAAGAATCCAGAAAGGACCATGGATAACAGGATATAGGAGCCATTCAGTTACCTAGCCTTACCCTGGTGTCTTGAGTCTCTGTGGATTCAACTAGAGCAGTGTTCCCCAAACTTTTTCTGTTGCATCCCCTTTACCAGTCATGGAATCTGTCCGTGCCCTCCCGACCAGGAGCCTTGGTCCAGAGCTGGGGCTGGGGCCACGATTGGGAGTCAGGGCTGAGAGTGGAGCCTGGAACTGGGGGCCAGGAGCCAAGGCCAGGGGTGGAGTTCAGGCCAAGGATGGGCTGGAATGGAGCTGGAGGCAGAGCGGGGCTGGGTGGTGCTCCCTTCCCGCCCCCTCTCGGGGCTGACACCCCCCAAAAACATTCCTCTGTGCCCCCCTAAGGGGCACGCCCCACAGTTTGGGGACCACTGAATTAGAGGGATTTTTCCAGGCACTCACACTATAGCATGGCTCTTCCACTCCTCACACTTGCAAAGCCATTATTTAAAGCTGCGACCTGTGCCCAGAGGTTTACAGTTACGTAGAAAATCCCCAAACAGTGGTTGAATAAAGTGCACGAGGTATTTCTGGCAAAAGATTGAGAAACACACTCTCTAAAGCATAATTTGGAGTAATGCTTATTTCAGAACTATTTACTAGATTTATTTTGATTCTTTGACACAACTAAATCCTGCGAAAGCAAAACAGTTGTTCTTTTGTAAATAAGAAGACTATAGCTCTTGAATTAATCTATATTCCCATGGGACATATTTTTAGCTGCGGGCACATTTACTCCCACCTGTTCTGACTGCACCTGTTGTATCCATTGAAACCCAATTAATACATACTGGTTAATGGCCTGCCTTCTGCTTTGTACATACATGTGGTTGAAATAATCTTCAAAGCACCCTGGGAAGTAACTAAATATTATTCATCCCAGTTTACAGATGGGGAAGATGATCAAGGGAACTTAAGTAACTTGCCTATGGTCACACAGTATGTCTGTGGGAGAGACAGAAATAGACTCCACAAATACTGACTCCCTTGCCCTGTTCTAACTATGACACTCTGCCTCCCCTGGTTTTTCATCAGTTTTGCCAGAAGTGTGAATTTTTGACACACAGTTCCACTCACAATGGGAAGTTACTTTTACAGAAGGAGCATGTTTGTCCCTTAAAAACCTGAATATGATACACCCTTCATAAAATTTTATATAAATAATGAATATGCAATTTGAATGCTTTCATTTTTGCAATTGAATGTATACAGTGTATATTCTCTTTCCTTTTTTCAGGCCATATCAGAATTTATTAGCTATTCCTTGAAGCAAAATTGTATAAACTTTGGTTTTGCTTCAGTTAATATTTATTACTGGGCTGTGTGAATCTTGATCCCAAAAGTAGTATTTAGCACAACAACTTTAAGATAATTAACACTGTGTCTTTGATATCATAATTAAAGCTGTAACAGTTTTCATGATTAACCTTACATTTTTAAGAGTTGAAAGTTTAGGGAAACACATTCCTTTTCTACATAAGAATGGCCCTACTGGGTCAGACCAAAGGTCCATCTAGCCCATTATCCTGTCTTCCGACAGTGGCCAGTGCCAGGTGCCCCAGAGGGAATGAACAGCACAGGTAATCATCAAGTGATCTATTCCCTGTTGCCCATTCCCAGCTTCTAGCAAACAGAGGCTAGGGACTCCATCCCTGCCCATCCTGTCTAATAGCCATTGATGGAACTATCCTCCATGAACTTATCTAGTTCTTTTTTGGACCTTGTTATAGTCTTGGACTTCAGAACATCTTCTGACAAAGAGTTCCACATGTTGATTGTGTGTTGTGTGAAGAAATACTTCCTTTTGTTTGTTTAAAACCTGCTGCCTATTAATTTCATTTGGTGACCCCTAGTTCTTGTGTTATGAGAAGAAGTAAATAACGCTTCTTATTTACTTTCTCCACACCTGTCATGATTTTATAGACTTCTATCATATCCCCCTTTTGTCATCTCTTGTCCAAGCTGAAAAATATCAATCTTATTCATCTTTCCTCTTACGGAAGCTGTTCCATACCCGTAATCATTTTTGTTGCCTTTTTCTGAACCTTTTCCAATTCCAATATATCTTTTTTGAGATGGGGCGACCACATCTTCACACAGTATTCAAGATGTGGGCATACCACGGATTTATATAGAGGCAACACGATATTTTCTGTCCTATTATCTATCCCTTTCTTAATTATTCCCAGCATTCTGTTTGCTTTTTTGACTGCCACTGCACACTGAGTGGATGTTTTCAGAGAACTATCCACAGTGACTCCAAGATCTCTTTCTTGAGTGGTAACAGCTAATTTAGACCCCATCATTTTATATGTATAGTTGGGATTATGCTTTCCAATGTGCATTACTTTGTATTTATCAACATTAAATTTCATCTGCCATTTTGTTGCCCCGTCACCCAATTTTGAGAGATCCCTTTGTAGCTCTGTGCAGTCTGCCTGGGTCTTAACTATCTTTAGTAATTTTGTATCATCTGCAAATTTTGCCACCTCACTGTTTACCC